AATGAGATTGCAAATGTCACATTCTCCCCATATTTCAAGCTTGTGGAGGAGGAATTTAAGTGATCTGATTTTTGAAATGCACTGAGCATTATTTGAAATGCACTGAGCATTATTTGCAGTGCTAAGAGGAAGGAAAGGGAGCAGCTTGTGCAGGGTGTGAGTGCGGACTACCCGCCACCACACTTCACAACCCAGTGAGCTGGCCTAGGGTGGACGGGTGCTGCCTGCAGCCTGCATCAAAGCCTTGCTGTGGAAACCCAACAAAATCACACCACCTTCTGCAATGCCCAGAGGAAAAAAGGGGATTTTCAGTGCCAGTGATGAATCCTAAATGCTCCTGAATTATTATCAGCTTTCTCCAAAGGCACAGTCCTTTGGAGTCTGGGTCCTAAAATGGGCCTGAGAAGAGTTAATTTCCTAAACCATTTAAGACCAAATTTGAGGTTTATCAATTTTCTAAGCAAAGGACTACTTGTGGTAAACTGAAGCAATGACTGATGGCTTCTCACTTTTCTCTGCGGGAGACAAAAATTTGGCCTTCAAAGGACTTAAAACTGCTCTCAGATGCTGTAAATAAATATGTGGCATTAAGAAAGAGCAAGATGTGCTACTAAAATCTCTGGCAGGCATTTACTATGCCCCAGTACAGCATGGGTAGGTACAGATATCCACTTTCCACATAACTAGTGTCAAAACTGAGGCTTGAACTCACATCTGCCTGATCCCAAGTGGACTTATCTTCCTCAGCAGTGACAATCTGATAGGAGGAAAAAAGCAATTATTGCTTTAATTTGCATTTACTTAATTATTAATGTTGTTTAGCATCTTTTCATGTTTCTTGTTCATTTGTATTTCTACCGTAACTGCCAGATCATACTTTTGTCCCATTTTTCTGTCTTTTTCAACTTCGCTGATTTGTAAGAGTTCTGTGTACCTAGGGATAATTCTCCATTACAACTGGCCCTCTGTATCCATGGGTTCTGCTTCTGTGGATTCAACCAACCTCAGATCAAAAATATTTGGAAAAAAACTTCATCTGTACTGAACATGTGTAACCTTTTTTTTTTTTGTCATTATTCCATAAACCATGTAGTATAACAACTACTTGCATAGCATTTACATTATATTCAGTATTATAAGTAATCTAGAGATGATTTAAAGCATACAGAAGGATGTGGGTAGGTTATATGGAAACACTACAGCATTTTATATCAGGGATTTGAGCATCCTCAGGTGTCTGTGGGAGGTCCTGGAACCAATTTGCCCAGGATACCGGGGGATGACGGTATATGTAACAGATGTTATATTGAGCTACGTTCTGTTCTAGTGTTTGTTGCTGCTTTGATCTATCTGGTATTCATTTCAAAAAATGGACAGGGATCCCTTCCCCCCAGTGGCCTAAGATTTATTCCAACAATATGGTTTAAAGATCCAATTTTGCCCCACTGAGTTGAAATAAATACCACACTGTTATTTTATAACAAAAACATTCACTTTTGCTCCAGCATCCCCCGAAAGCAACACAGTTGTTGTAAGTGGACAACTGAAGGGGGTCTGTGAAAGGCTTGACTGTAAGGCTGGGGCGGTCCTACCACACTCACAGAAGCACAGCAAGCTCAGGACCTGGCACAGGACGTGCCCTTGCAGGACAGCTGTGTAAGAAAGGCACAAGAGAAGGGGCAAATGCAGGGCCGGCCCGGTGGCGCCCTGGAGAGTGCGCCGCTTGGGAGTGCGGCGGTGCTCCCGCCAAGGGTTCAGATCCCATGTGGAGACCGGTTCCCGCTCACTGGCTGAGCGTGGTGCGGGTGCGACACTGAGGGTTGTGATTCCGTTACCAGTCAGTAAAAAAGACAAAAAAGGAAAAAAAAAAAAAAAAAAGAAGGGGTAAATGCAAACCTCAGCAAAGCTGCAGTGTAAGATTGGAGATGCTAATGAGCTTCAAGGAGGGAGGGCATTCAGAATGAATGACCCCAGTGTCCTGGATATTTATAAAGTATGCAGGATCCGAGCACAAACTGCAAAGATTCCTATCATGACTCCCCATAGTAAGATGAAATAGCTGCTATTATTTGTCTCAAGTTTTTACACTTAGATTATTTCAATGATTTAAGTGTTTTTATTATAATTTTTAAGGCCCATTTTGGTGGGCCCTGACCAAAAGGGGTATTTCCCTTTACTGCGATTCTCAAGTAACTCTTCAGCAGAACACCTTAGCATTTAGCACTGTCTGGCTTATCAGGATTTCCACTTACCGAACCACACATAGTGGACACTCACCTCCCAGCTCTACCCTGACACAGGTACTCTGCACAGTGGAGGAAATGTGCACTTTCTGGAGCCCTCCCTGCTCCATTTTGCCAGCAGCTACTTAAAATCTGAGAATCCGGCGGGCCTGAGTCCTCTCCCTAGGTCTTCCCTCCACTAGAGCATCCAAAATGCCGCGCTCTGCTGCAACAAGCTACAGGCACTTAAGCTACAAACTACAAAGACTGTTAAGACCCGAATTTCCAGGACCGTTCTCATTTCAAATAGCCTGTCCTCCTGTCACAACACATCAGGCTCAAGGCAGCTGACCTGCCCCGATTTTCCGCCTGATGGCCCAGGCTCCTGACTGTGAAGGTACTGCTGTTGAGGAACCCTCTAGAACTTTGGCGGTCTGAAGTAAAATAAAAGTTAATCGTTTCTGGCCAGTTTTCTACCCAAGTTTTCTCTCTGCTCCTAGCAATCACTGGAGAAGGGAAGGTTCCAAAAATTCCTTGTCGACACAAGATCCTTCTGCAAATCTCCAGTCCCGGGGCCCTGAGTCCCAAGATCCGAGGAGAGGAATAAGCTGACTGTCCTTCCCCACGCAGCAGGTGGTGATCGAGTCGGACCTGTACACGCACCGGCCTCTGGAGCTGCTGCAGCATCGCAGCGACCGCAGAGACGTGGGCGACAGCCTCAGGTTCAGCCGGCTGCAGAGCGCACGGCCGCCCGGAGCCCATCCCGCCAAAACCCCCGCCAGACCTGGTACGTGAGCCCCGGCCCCAGTGCCCCAGAACCTCCCTGGGCACAATGTCCCATTTAGAGCCAGTCGCACGCCTACGAAAGAGCAGCAGCACCAGCAGTGTCCGCAGCCTGCCTTGTGGTTTGCCGAGGGCCACGTGGTGCACCCTGATGGCCTCGGTCACGCCAGGTGAGCAGAGCGCCTGCGCTTTAGCCAAATCAGCGCCTTTTCCACTACCAAGGCACCTGCTCCTGGCTTCTGCAGCAGCCTCACAAAACACCTTCTACCTACAAACCACGGGCTTCTGGGTGTGTGCAATGAGTAAAGATGCTCTCAACCCGCATCTTGTCCTACAGGAAGCGAAGCTGTGTGCACACGATGTAAATTATTATGCTGTGGGGGAGAAAAAGCTGTGACCCACGAAGCAAAAGAAACTGTATTATTTAACAGATCGTGTGTGTGTGTGTGTGTGTGTGTGTGTGTGTGTGTGTGTGTGTGTGTGTGTGTGTGAATTATATAGGCTTTTCATAAACTGCCATCATAAAACCTTATCGTTTTCCATTTCAATGACTTGAACGACAATCTGTAAAGAGAATTTAGGGTCAATTTGTTTTGAAAACTGGAAACATTATAGTCTTACCTTGGATACTATTTTTTTTAAATGTCTTCCACCCCAAGCAGTTTAACAGGAATCTGTTTCTAGCATAGACTGAAGTCTAGGATGGTATTTTGCCTTTAATTGCTGGTTTGGATTATTTCTATTATGCCCACAATCTAAAGTTATTCATATTTTAACTCCAAAAATACACAGTAGGAAGCCTAGGATGTCCTCAAAGCCTTTGGACTTTGACAATTTTGTATGTTACGGGAACTTAAATAATACTGCACTAAGACTGTCTCTTCATCCATGCATCTTTCCCTTTTGTAGATGATAGACTAGTCCTCTAAGGTTTCTTTGATCACTAAGAACCTAATTCTGTTCTTATATCTGTGTATAACAACACATAAATCAAGCTATATTCTCTAGTTAAGTGATTACATATCCATCTACATATGCAGAGGGAAACATTAGGAAAACCACAATTTGGCTTGCAAATTAAGAGGAGATAGATGTTTCTCTGTGTCTATATATAGGTGAGTGGGTGGGTGCATGTGTGTGCAGAAAGAGAAAAAGAGACGGAATCTTTATCTTTGCTACAAAATCATAAAATGAATTTAGAGCTATGTTTCTCAAATTTTAATGTACAAAAGAATCACCTGGAAATTTTATTTTTATGCAGATTCTAATTCAGTAGGACTGGGTGGGCCCCGAGATTTTATGTTTCTAGCAAGCTACCAGAGGATGCTGATAGTGCTGCTCTGGGTAAAACATATTGAGTAGCAAAGATTTAGAGATGATCTAATGCAGTGGTACTCAAAGTGGGGTCCTGGGAGCAGCAGCACCCTGAAATTTGTTAGAAATGCAGATTTTATTGAATTAGAAACTCCAAAGTTAAGACACATCAATCTGTATTTTAACAAATCGTCCAGGTGATTCTAAGGCATGACAAAGGTAGAGAACCTCTGATCTACTGCAATTTTCAGAAGAGGAAACTGAAACCATAGAAACTGTATGACATACCCAAGGTCTCACTGCTTGTTAGCCACAGAGCCAAGATTACATTTCAGGTCTCCTGATTCCCTCGCTAGTGTCTCTTCCCCCAGGGAATAATGTTTTCCCACCTGTCTAGTTTCAGGGGTCACTTTCATTCCTTTCTAAGTAGCTTGTAGATGCTTGGACTGACCGAGTCAATCCTTTATTCTGAAAGACAACAGCAGTAAGTTATGAAATGGAGAGAATCTGCCAGCACATGACAGTCAGATCATGCAGAGAATGTGCTAGTCAGGCTTTAAAAAGTGAGAGATTAAGCTGGGCATTGATCCAATTCCTTCAACTCCCCCAACCTGATAGATTCCAGAGTGGGTGGGGGGAAGAGAAAATTTCTGAGTCAAAGCCAGACCCCAGTGCACTCCACAGGAAAGGCTGGTCTCTATCCTTCCTCAGATTGCTGTACGTATCCAAGGATCTCGGATCTGGGGGCTTGCCTTTTTCTGAGTCATAGGAGAAGCCTCCTGGATGCTGTAGCCTTCTCATGCTCTGAGGAATCTTGGGAATCAAGGGGACTCTGAAGACAGAGACCCAGCTGAGAAACTCTCTCACCATGAGGCCTCAGATGCCCGCAGAGGGCACAATCCCCACCTCCTGGGCCTGGGAGACTTGGCCGTCTCGGGCACCTCAGAATCAACCTGTGCGAACCTCTCATCCTTTCTCAGCTGGGGTCACTAACCATCCATCATTCCAGCAAGTCTCAAGATGTCTTCCCTAACACCTCCTTGTCCTCCCCCACCTCTTCACACCAAACACTGACAGCATCAGCTCCTGGATAGTTCTCATCTCACCCATTTGCTACCTACCTAAAGACACCCAGGCCCAGGCTCCCCTCATCTCCACTGTGTAGAGAAGATTGCCAGCAAATGTTCCCAGCCTCCAGTCCCTGTCCCTCCACAAGGTTACCAAAGGGGTCCTCCTAAAGCAGAAATCTGCACCTGTCATCTCTTGGCTTTAAACATGGTGTCCCCTCCCTGCTCTACCTTCCAGATCACACTGACCTCTCCAGGGCCACCTCCTGTGAACTCCTGCCCCTGCCCTTCTATCACATAGAGCACCCTGAGCTGTGGTGTCATCCTGTGCCTACTCCATTACATTCTGCTTCCCTGGACCCCTGGACCGTTCTCTCCACAGCTTGCCCTCCCTGTCTCTCTCCATCTGGCAAACTCCCCCTTCTCTCAGGGTGAGCAAGGGGGGTCCTTTGGTCAAGTTTTCCCCAGCCCTGCAAGATCACCAAAGAGGTCAGTTCACTGCTCCCTAAATCATTCTTACCTGACTTCATCATAACTGTTACCTATCTCCAAAGCCTACGTTCCCTCAGCTAGAAAGTATGAACTGTCAGGATATCTACCTCTTTGGGTTGTAGTGAGAATTAAATGAGATAGTAATTATGTGCTTTACACTCAGCACAGTGCCTGGCATGCAGACTCAAAAATATGAGTTCAATTTTTATTACTTATACTAGGGCGCCATTCATTATGGTTTGATCTTGACAGTCTTGTACTTTTTCATTTTATTAGCATGGAGATTTTTCCTCAAGGGAAGGGGGAAGAATGTTTGATTTCTTACATACTATCGTGCAACGTGATAGGGCTTGTCCCGGAACACCTGCCCCAGGGGAGAGCTGTGTTGAAAGCCAACTTTCCCCTCCCTTTTGCCACTACCTCAGCTCAACCTGGATCCTTAGAAGCTTCAGGCTTCCAGGTAGAATTCCTCAGAAGTAGGTCGGGGCACCAGGAATAAAGGCATTAGAAAGAAGGTTCTGCACACATACATCTCAGGTAGCCAGTTTCTCAGGATTCTGATCTGATAAACTCCAGTCCTTCCACGGTATGGGGCACGTACTTACTACCGCAGGCACAACTTCTCTGCTCATTTTTAGAGGGATGTCCACAGGCACCATGTTAAATCACTGATCCCAGCTGTAAAGATGTAACGCCTACTAACCTCTTAACCTTCCTACCATCTGAGATCGTAGGAAGGAGGGAGATGAGGAACATTCCCTGAGCGCCTACTACATGCAGACAGTGCTAAATGCTCCCACATAGGGACTGGCCGGTTAGCACAGTCGATTAGAGCATAGAGCGTGATGCTGATAAATGCTTCCACATGCGTAATCTTTTTTTTTTTTTTAATAGGCTATTTTTTGGATCAGTTTTAGTTTCACAGCAAAATTGAGCTGAAAGTACAGAGGTTCCCCATTCACCCCCAGCCCTGACACTTGTGCAGCCTCCCCCATTATCAGCATCTTCCACCAGAGTGGCACATTTGGTACAGCGAACGAACCTAGTTAACACACTGATCTTGTTTACACCTTAGTTCCAGTCCCTCCGGAAGAGTGACAGGGGTATAGGTGACCCCTCTCAGTAGTTGCCTCATTGCCCAACCCTACTGCTTGGTTTTGCCACTTGGTACAAAGATCTTTAGAAATTCCCTGCTGTGATTGATTGGCTAACAAAATAATTGATACAGAACCAGGGGGAAGCAGAACACAGAGTACTACTGAGTAATATCTCTTCCGTTCAACTTTGCAGGGGGGATTTCTGAGCCCAAAGCATCAAATTTGTGTGGGAATCGAGCATATGGAAAATCTTTGGTAAGTAAAATATGCCTGGTTAGTTGTATCTGTTGTGCTTTAAACTTCTCTCCATGTCTGTTTCTATTGTGCCATAAAGTGAGACAACGTGTCCTTGGCTCCAGGTTGAGGATTATTAGAAAAGCATAACTCGTGGTTCTTTGCTCCTAAAAGCTATCAGTTGACCTTGCTTTGTGCACTTGTGGCATATCACTGGCTATGTGTCTTTCTTGCTGGAAATTCAGCTCTTAGGCAAACATAAAAGGCTTTTACCCAGAGGACATCTCACACATAGGGTAAAGAACTAGTTTCTCTCATAGGCCCTTGCCAGATGGAAATACCTCACTCATCCCCAGATGCAGCTATAGGGTAAAGAGATGTAAGGTTCTCAAGCACTATGAAAATACAAAACACCAGTGTCTTACTCAGCTCATGTAGCTATAACAAAATACCATAGACTGGCTGGCTTAAACAACATTTTCTCACAGTTCTAGAGGCTAGGAAGTCCAAGATCAAACTGCTGGCAGATTCAGTGTCTGGTGAGGGTTCCCTTCCTGGTTTGCAGATAGTGGCCTTCTTTCCGTAGGTTCCCAAGGCCTTTCCTCTGTGCACACAGGGAGAGTGAGAGCTCTAGTGTCTCTTCCTCTTCTTATAAGGATACTAATCCTATCACAGGGGCTCTACCCTTATAACCTCATCTAAACCTAACTACCTCCCAAAGGCCTCACCACCCAATATCATCACATTGGGGGTTAGGGCTTCAACATATGAATTTGGGGATGGCCCAAACATTCAGTCCATAACAACCAGTCATCTCTGGATTGGGGTACCTCTGGGGGCATCTGCTACAGCTCAGGTTCTCTAGAAGCTGACTCTGAGACTTAGGGTTGGAGGCACAAGACATATTAGGGATCAACACCTATGACAGGAGCAGGAAGCAGACTTGGGTGGAAGGAGCTACTGAACCACGATGCAGGCCCAGCACATGCTGGTGGGCAGCTCTGGGGTTGTCCATCCAGGTTGGTCTGAGTTGGGTCAAAATGGCCAAGCTTTTATGTTCCCTCCTTGCTCCATCACAGCATGTGGGTTGCCCCAGGAAGGCCATGACCTTGGGCCAGGTGGCCCTGTGCAGCTGAGGACACGTGAAGGAGCTAAGAGCCTTCTGCTGCCCACCCTGCCACCCACCCTCCTGCAGTTGGGCAGCTTGTCCTTCCTTGCAGGGGGATGGGGCGGTGCCTCTCCAGGCCCCTCAGCACATGTCCGGCCTGTCAGGTTCCCTCTCAGTTAGCAGCATCAGTGGTGGCTGGAGGGGAAGTCAGCACAGGTATCCCAGGCTCTTTGAGTATCAGCTGTCAAGATGTCTAGATGGTGCAAAATGAGAACTGGAAGAGACCCAAGAGGTTGTCTGGGCCAGGCCCTGGTCCTTACAAAACAAACTGAGCAGAAATGCAGGTGCTTCACTCCCGGTCTGGGCAGAAGATCTGATCCAGGGATATCATCTAGGTCATCGCTATACCAGGAAAATGACACAAAGGGCAGGAATGGGACAAGCTGTGTGCAGGGAGTCCCTCCCCTCCACCACCTTGTATCCCCCTCAGGGAACACCAGGGAGGCTGGGCAGTTGACACAAAGGGAAGGTTGTCATGCTGCAACAGCTCAAACAGCTGCCCTTGACTGAGCCCAGAGAAAGACCAAGGTTAAAAGCGTGGCTCACAGCCTTGGATCATAAGGGCTCAGACAGCACCCTTTGCAAAGAGGCAGCTGCAGTGGGCGGTCAGAGGGAGCTGGGATGGCATTGGGTGAAGATGGGGACATGGCTACTAGGGGAGGTGATAATTCTGAAGAGGAGGAGGAGACAACGTAACTGAGCTTTTCCTCTGGGCCCGGAGACGGTGGGGCTGGGGTCCCACATCTCCTTAGAGGCCCATCATCCCAGGGAACTGGGTAAGATTAGACTAAGAAGAGAGGGGAAGGCATGGGAACAAGGGCCTTTCCTCCAGAGCTAAGAAGGGGTGGGTGTCTGTTCACCCACGTATTGGCACAGTGGGGAAGGAGCGCTCTGGAAAGGCCACAAGGTGGCACAGTCACTCTGCCCATAGCCCTTGGCCAGCTCAGGAGAGGAGGAGGTGGTGAATACTGGTGCCCTTGACCTGGAATTTCCCAGCAATTTCAGAAACGTGGTGACTTGAAACCTACAATGGGGCTTAGGGTGCAAGAACAAGGCAGAGCGTGTGTCCGCTGACTGAGCAGCCTCTGGACTTGGCCTTGGCTAGGCCACCAGTTAATCTTCAATTCAGCACATGTTCCTTGAGCACTTACACCCGCTTTTGGAGGGCTGAGGGGGGCTCCCAAAGAGGTTGGGTCCCCGAGCCTGACACTTGCCATGCAATCTCTCTGGGACTAGGAGACTGGACAAAAAGGTGAAACAAGCAGACAGCCATAAAAAGAGAATTGGCGGGATGCTAAAAGGTGTCATGCTCAGTGCCATGGAGACATGAGGACAGAGAAAGATCACTTTGGGCTGCCAGCCTCAGGGAAGGCTTCCTGGAGAAAGTGGCCTTTAAGAGCAGGTAGAGGGCCGGCCCGGTGGCGCACTGGAGAGTGCGCCACTTGGGAGTGCGGCGGCGCTCCCGCCGAGGGTTCGGATCCCATGTGGAGACCGGTGCCCAC